CACTCTAGCGTTCAATGCAACTTGCTGTCGATAGGGTTTATACTAGAGTTTAGGGTTCCGGGTTGACTGCAACTTGGGGTGGTGGGATCTGTACGCCCCAGACTTCCATGCATGTGCCATGCCCACATGGCCTCTTCGAAGAATGTCCTCGTGAAATCCTTGCAGGCCCATGGTTGAGACTTCATGGTTGGTTCCGGTCCAACGTTTCAGCGTTCTGGGCCTCAGGTTAGGGCACAAGATTTATGGTTGCTCTTTCGCTACTAACCTCCTTAGAACCATAATAACAAGTATAGTGAATGTTCTTTGGGTGTTATTTTAAAAAACAAAAAGAAAGAGCCTAAGGAGACTACAGTTGGGGATTACGGTTGGGTGCAACTTCTGCTTTAACCCCATGGAAACCTGTCGACTTCTTTCCCCTCTTAAGGCTGACTATGCCAATTAAGCTTTCCTACTATTTGCTTAAGAACCCCCCAAAAAAATAAAAAATATATTCCTTATGGGGGTATTGTAGGGATTATTATGTTTATTTTTGGGGGTTTCTTAAGCAAATAGTAGTTTCTGCAAGCCCTTTGCAGTTGCCAAACACTAAACTAACTATCCGTCTCCGCGACCCCAGCCACAAGATCAATATCAAGATGAATGATGAATCCCTAAACCCTAAACCCCTAAACCCCAAACGGCCCAAACCCTAAATAGCTTTGCGCCGGCCATCATTGCCGAGCTTCCGAGGAGAAGGTGGTCAGCTTGACCTGCCAAGCGCACGCAAGACTTCTGGAGCTCTGTTTGGGCCTGCCTGGCCCCAGGCGATCCCTTCAAACCAAGGACAAAATGAATTGCCAAAGCCCCCAAAGACCGGCCTGAACCCTTATCCCTCAAAATTTTTCAATTCCCATCAAGCACTCCCGAAAAAAGACCGCGAGGGACTTCTTTCAACAAAAATGCTGGATTCCTGGAAATCCACACGACCGGCCCTAACCCCAACCACCTAAACCCTAAACACTAAACCCTAAAGCCTGAACCGTTTAAAGCCTAAACCCCAAAGCCTAAACCTCCCAAAAAAGGAGACCCCTGAACACTGAAAACGCCTTACCCCCCTCAAAAGAAAAACTAAATCCGAAACCACCCAAAAAGAGACCTTGCCTGGCCGAGCATCAGCAGCGAGCCCTCCTCGGGGTCGCCGAAGCCCTCCCAGTCACGGGTGCAGCTGCCCTCCTCGGAGTGCGGCTTTGGGGTTTTGGACGTTTTTTTGGTGCGTTTTTTTGCTTTTAGGGGTTTGGGGTTTAAGGGTTGAAGGGCTTAAGGGTTTACAGTTTCAGGGGTTACCTTTTTCAGGGCTTTGGAGATCTTTGGGGTTAGGGTGGCAGGGTGTAGGGGATTACGGGTTTAGGGTTTAGCGGTTCAAGGTAGTACAAGGCCTCGGGCTCTCATGGTGCTTTCATAACGGGTTCGGCAGGATGGCGTAAGATCTTTTCTTTTTACTTGTGAGGGTTTCGCAGGGCTTCGTAGCCTAGATGTTTCGTAGGATTGCCTGATAAGGGCCTGCACCGGTGCAATCGGTTGGTTCTTTTGGGTTATTACAGACTTCGGGACTGAGGCTTTGGGTGTTGCGGGTGTAAAGCGTTTTTTCTGCGGGTCTTCAATTGGATTTGGAGCTTCCGGTTGGTGGCTTAAAGTTAACCCCAAGGGTCCAAGTACCAAATAATCATATACTCCCCAAAGTCCCAAGCTACATCATGACTATCCCAGAGCCGAGTACCTAAGCATTGGGCCCTTGGGGAAAGCTTGGGATTACCCTAAACCCTAAACCCTAAACCGACTGTACAGGTTCAGGCGTTATGATTTCAGGGCCCCAGGGCAGTCTTTCGGGTTCTTTCTGGCCCCACCCTTGAAGAAGAAGGGCAAGAAGAGCGACACATGGCACCTCAACCTACCCTGTAACAGTTGCATAACATTTATAGCATAGTTATATATATATATATATATATATATATATATATATATATATACATATATATATATATATATATACACTTTATTATGGTCCCTACTACAGACTGTTACAGGGTGTACTGTCCCAAAGTACAGGACAGCATAGGGTTTAATTGGCTACTTAAAGGCATATGGGATTTAGTAACTCCCTTCATAATGAAGGCAACTGTAATTATGCTTATCTATTACCCGAGTCAAGGTACTGATAACCTTACTTGCTACATAAGTTCCAGGATCATCCAAGTCTGCAAACTTCCCGAGTCGCTGAGGCCAAGGCTCTGGGAGTGCTCAAGAGACGATCGGGTGAGCTCTGATTGAACTCGAACCCTCGGGCTCCAAATAGCCTGAAGTAGGTACCGTATACTTAGAGATTCTAGACCCCAAAGTAGGTACTGTTTGTATACTTGGAGCCCTACTGTTGATGATACAAATCCTGCATTACCTTAAGGACCCAAAACTATGAGGATTATGTTATGCCTTATTATGGGTACTGCAGGATTTATATCATCAACCGTAGGGAAGTGCTGCTCATGCCTTTGAGTCTGAAGGTTCCGGGAATTCTCAGCACTCCGAAATCCGGACTCAAAAGCTGCTAGCAGATCTGAACTGCAATCGCGGCGCGGCGGGCATCAGCATCTTCCGTATGCCCTCATTGCACGCTGCGAGGGCTGCCCCCATCGTGGCCTGCTTGGGCAAAGCTACACTTTGTTGGACCTGTTCGAAGCTCAACCCCCCGAACGTGAAACCTTCGACCCCAGACTCCAAAACCCTCAGGGTCCATGCACTCATATAGTATATACAATGACTATATAGATACTTTAGGGCCAAAGTATAAACTATTTGAGTACATGGATCCTTATAAGGGAAAGGCTAAACACGGAAGATGCTACGGCTGTGCTCAAGCAGAACAAATCTTCAAGTTGGGGGGGGTACTATACTGAACTTAGAACCCCGGCAAAAATTACATTTTTAGCTGTCTCTTAGGGATTATAATAACCAAAAATTACATTTATTTCTAAGTACCCCTAAGGGTAGATTGTACAAGGGAGCCAGGGACCTGAAGCTCAGAGTCCCACTCTTCGGAGCCCCAGAACCAAGCCGTGTAGCTACGGCTGATGACGTAAATCCTGCACTACCCATAACAAGGAATTTACCATAATTCCCATAGTTTAGGGTCCTTAAGGTAGTGCAGGATTTATATCATCAACAGTAAGAGTATGACAGACCTTCACCTACCAGAATCTGTTTTGTTTGTAGGGTCCCTGTAAAATCCATGTTAGGGTTTAGGGTTTAGGGTTTAGGGTTTTAGGGTTTAGGGTTTAGGGTTTTAGGGTTTGAAATAAGATACTACACAACAAGCATGTTATGGTATATTCAGGGGACTCTTAATATAGAATAGGCTGTGGGACCATCCTTTTCCCGCGGTGTTCTCTTTTCACATAGGTAGATGGGTAGATAGATCGATCGACGGATGGACGGATGGACTGATGAAGGGATGGAGGGATGGAGGGATGGATGGATGGATCGAAAGATGGACGGATGGGCGAATGGACGGATAGAAGGATGGACGGACAGACGGATGGACGGATGGAGGGATGGATGGACCATCATCTGATCGGTAGATAGACAGATAGCTCGACAGATACAGGGACGGATGGACAGAACGATAGATCGGTCGCAATGAAAGGTGCTGATACGGCTCAGGATGCTGAGGCTAAGCCCACCCTGTTCAAGATGGGGTTTAGGATTTAGGGTGTTTAGGGTCTTTAGGGTTTAGGGTTTAGGGAAGTCACCGCGAAACCAAGTCCATCTGTACAACTCAACTTCTCAGACTGATTTTGCATTCAGCTTAAAACCCCAAACCCTGAATCCCCCAAACCCTATGTGAATACTAAAATCCTAAACTCCCTTGCTCAAAGCATGTAGCCCGCAAGTTTCAACATCTGAATCCGATGCACTCGGGTTTCCGCTATGTGCTCTCCAGGTTTTTTGCCGGCTTCTATGAGCTGTTCGAGTTTAGGTTTTAGAGCTTGCGATAAAGAAGACCCATGCAGACATCTGAAGGATCTTCCAAATGCCTACATCCAAAACCCCAAACCCAGAAAGCGACACACCCTCTCGCAAATGTTCCGTTCGTGATTGACACGCACAACAGGGGTGTGTTCGCGGTAAGCTGGCCTGGCACAAAAGCGCCACCCGTAGGGCGTCGCAGGCGGTAAGCTTGCTTTGAAGCCAAGTGGCTGGAGTATGACGGTCGAAACATCGTCGTTGAGAAATGTCAAAAGTCAAAACCATGAAACGATAATTCAGATGCCCGGAAAGTCCTACACCAAGTTCAACGAAACACAACAGTTGCAGCATAAATGAAGAGCTGCGGGGTGCACGATTTTAAGGTGTGTCGCAGACTAAGGGTGGCCACGCTGATGGTCGAACTCCTGCACTGGATTAGTGTTGGAAAAGCGTGGCACTACGAGAGTTCTGGTACATTCCTTCTGGAGGAGAATGAAGGATTGTGGAGGGCCTTTATGTAACAATCAGGGAGGATTTTGGGTGAAACTTGTACAAGAACTATACAAGGACTACAGTTGGAAACCTTCACTAATTATTCCGATGCCGAAATTAACAAGCTTCTCTTTGACATATCTGGGTTCAGGATATAAGCTTTAGGGGTCACGTTTGGAGCTGAGGGCTGCAGCATGCAGAGTCACACCTCTACACCCTTGGCCTTGAGTTTTAAACCCCTCTGAACTGCCCAAAGCCCCAAAAGCCAAAAACCCTAAACCCAACGAAAGATCAACACGAGCCGAGGCTATGATCAAAGGGCTACAGCTGTAGGATGAAGGTAGGTGGGGTAATCCCAAATACTAGTCCTAATACAACCCTAGGGGTCCACTTGCCCATGTAGTATATACTTTGGCCCCTATGTACCTATATGGGGTCTACTTTACGGCCAGTTTATATACTATGTGAGTACGTGGACCCTTAGGGACATGAAATTGCGAGGCCCGAGCCGTATGCTGCGACGTCTGGCTCGGCACCGGCCGCTCTCATCGCCTTTTCCCAGGGCGTTGTTGGTTTGAGGTTACGGGTGAGCGTCTTGTCTACGGTTTACCTAAATTCCCAAAAGTAGGTAGGGCAATGGCCCAACGCGTAATAAAAAACCATTATTCTACATGATTTCGGGGTCGAGGGCTTAGAGAGCTGAGGATCTAGCATTCAAGGGTTAAGATGAAGTTGAGATCTTGGAGTCTAAAACTTAATGATTAGAGCAGTTCTTCGCGGCTCATTATTATGTTATAAGAAGGAACCCCCCAAATAGTATTGGTAACTGTTTAGGCGCCTATATTACTGTAGCTCTTGTCTTGTTTAACAGGTTGGTTTTATAATCGCTGGGATAAACGAGAAGAACATCGGAGACAATTCTACAGGGGCAGGGTAACCGTCATTATGTTCAACACGGCACGGCCGTTGACACTGAACTCAACATTGTCAATGGAGACCCTCGCAAAGTTGTAGGTGTTGGACTTGATGGATGGGAAGAGCTCGCAAACCTCATCGTGATGTTAGGCGACCGTCTTTGACTTGTCAGTGCCCATCGCTTTTGACTTGTTGAGGAAACCCACGATGGTATTGACGTTTGAGGACGAAAGGTCTCTGCTGTAGTAAGGTGCTTCGGTGGATGGAATGCACACCGAAGCTTGGAGTACTTCCACCCGGGTTGATTCGGGAATCCTTGGATTAGGGATCCGACGAAGCCCCTCTGCCCTATGCTCTGAAATACTACCCGTATGAAGTACCTGCTCAATTGTACACCCATCTATATTCCTATACTAAACTTAGAACCCTAGCAAAAATTATGATTTTAGCTGTTTCTTAGGGATTGTAAAAACCAAAAATTAAAAACTATTTCTAAGTAGCCCTAAGATTCCTGCTGGTCCTATATACACCGGCCATTTACACCCCCATCCTGGAGAGCTTCCCTGTTAGGGCGCCCTGCTTTTCACATGTAAGTACTTAAACGGTAGGTTATTGTACATATATCCTTAAAGGGTAGGTCTATCTATACATGAATTTATATTTGTTCTTTTTATGTATGAACATACAAACGGTAAGTTATACCCAACAAATCTAAACCGTAGGCTGTTACTTCTGTCTCCTAAAATACGTTATCATATATAAATCCTTAAAGGGGAGGCTCAGGGGTCCAGCTAGGGGGCGAAGGCAGGTTCCTGCTTCGGCTTGGGATTGGGATGGTGGGTGCCGAGCTTGATAAGCTCCGGGAGCGAATATTTGGGCCCTAAGAAGTAAGGATAGAGGTGCTACAAGATTCCTATAAGAGTGCTAGAATAAGATTTAACTTAGCTGCATTAGATGATCAGACGAGGATTTTGGGACATACTTTGGCACGCTGGGCTATAACGCTTCCAAGCTTCGAAGCTGACTGCGGAGAACAGCAAACTACTTGCTGCATGCAGCAGAAGAGCATAGTGTAGACCCCGGGTGAAGAATTCCCTGGACCTGAAGGTCCCGAATCCTGGCATCCCGTGCATCAGAAACCCAACTCCCAAAGCCAAAACCCGAAGCCAGCACCGGACCTTCAACCCTTGGAGTTTAGGGTTTTGGGGTTTCGGGTTTAGGATTTAGGGGAACTCTAAAACAAACCCAAGCCGTGACACCCCAAGTCCTAAGCCCACAAACCGGGTCTAAAACCCTCATGAAACCCTTCTGAAACCCTAAACAACCCTACAGTCGTGGAACCCAAATCAAAGCCTAAAACCGCTAGTCCTGGCGATGGGGATATCTGCATGGAGGTTCGCAGCAGTTTCCCATAACCTTCTTGGCCTCATAATTTATAGCCGAAGTACAACTCTGAATACCTAACTTAGTGGGAAGACATTTAGCTGGGTTATAACCTTAAATATATCCCACTTATATGTCCGCTAGTTGGTTTCGTGGGCGGTAGTCGGGCTATATCAATGTCCCTAAAACCCTATAAACGCTAAACCCTATAAACCCTAAGCAACCCGATGAGGTGCCTTCCAAAGAAGCACCGCGGACTCCCAACGCCGCCCTGACACGAGCTGGCGGAATATCGGTTCCTGTTAAGGGCTCGGGCTCAGAGGGTGAAGATACTTACGCAAATTTATACATAAACTTAGAGTTTAGGGTTTAGGGTTTAGGTTTAAACACGTGTAATAAGTTTATTTATGGACAAACATTTGTATGTTTGTATATCTAGATATAAGGGTTGAGAGTGGCGCTGGGTTCAGGATATGCGTCGTTAAAGTCTTCAGGCCTTGTAGTCAGGGGCCTTCATGATTCAATGGGGTTCTGGTGTCATAGGAATTTGAAGCCCTGTTGTGGGGCTTCTCTTAGGGCCTGACAAGGTTAAATATAGAGCCTTTCACAAAGAGGAGGAGCTTTTGTTCTTTTGTTGTGTATGGTAACTTTCTAAGTACGGGGACCACAATTCGACAACCTGAAGTTCTATTTAATCAAAGCTTCTTAGCAGTTGTGCTCTTTTCACGGAGGAGGGGAGCTAGGGGGTGTTGGGTCTAGGCGTTTCGGTGTTAAGAGGCTTCGGGATTTGCTGGAGTTTAGGAGTTGGGCCCATCGGGCCTTCCAGTGCAGACTCCGCTTGGTGTCGAGGCTCTGCGCGGCTGGGTCTAGTACCAGTACTTCAGTGATGGCGGTGTAGGTGTTGAGCGGCTTGACCCCAGAACCCTTCAAAACCTTACTTCTCTTAGCTATATATACATATATATATATATGTATATGTATATGAAAGTATACCTATACACACAATTCACAAATACAGTGCATACATCTCTCTCACACACACATCTGAAACAATCTCGTGAGGTTCGTCCTAGTTCAGCAACATGCCGGGTCACCAGAATTGTGGTACACCCTTGATATGACACAAAAGCTGATTCAGCAGAAACCGGCACATGAATCAGCTCCATAATACAGAACAGCATGCAGACGCACTCGACCTGTCGAAATGTGCATGATGTGCCACTGGACAACCTCGAGTCTCTAGCAACGTAGAGCATGTAGCGTTCCTGCTGGCCTACATACTATAGACTGCAGAACGCAATCATACTCATATGACTACAGACATACGTACATACATACATACCTACATACGTACATACATAGACCGAGAGATCTTACGAGATCAACCACATGTTGAATCATGTGTTGTGATTCCCTTGTCCAACTACCAAAGTATGAAGTGCACAAATATTTAAATACACTAAAGTGTGTGTGTGTGTATATATATATATGTATATATGTTTATACACGCTACTATACGTACAGGTATTTACACTACTATCCTGTGCACGATACTTTCTGTTGAGTCACTGCTTTCTGGCAGCTGCGCCTTGTGAGCAGGCGCTGCAGGCCGTGACGAACAGGATCCCGCTGTTGAGCAGACCTAGTTGCGGGCAGTGCGCAACAACATGCCATTCAGATTCCAGGGTGCCTGACGTAGGCTGCAGTGACACATTCGTATGCCTTTTCTTGCGAGGTTCAAGGCGTCTGCATGCAATACAAGCTTCGATAGCATAGAAATCCATGGCCTGACTCGTTTTTGTTGTGGAAACATCTGCGGAAGTCCAAAATCCACTTGCCTCAAATTCTAAACCCTATAACCCTGATCTTGACATGGTGTTTAAATGGAATGCAGTCGTCTTGAAGGGGCCTTACACGAATTAAATACTGTTACTACTCATTACTTCTACTACTTCTGATACTACGACTACCACGTCTACAACAACTACTGCTATTTTTACTACTACTACTACTACTACTACTACTACTACTACTACTACTACTACTACTACTACTACTACTACTACTACTACTACTACTACTACTGCTACTGCTACTGCTACTGCTACTGCTACTGCTACTGCTACTGCTACTGCTACTGCTACTGCTACTGCTACTACTACTACGACTACTACGACTACTACGACTACTACGACTACTACGACTACTACGACTACTACGACTACTACGACTACTACGACTACGACTACTACTACTACTACTACTACTACTGCTACTACTACTGCTATTACTACTGCTAACTGCTACTGCTACTGCTACTGCTACTGCTACTGCTACTGCTACTGCTACTACTACTACTACTACTACTACTACTACTACTACTACTACTACTCCTACTACTACTACCCCTACTTCTACTTCTGCTGCTGCTTCTACTACTCCTGCTGTTATTGCTGCTGCTGCTACTGCTAGTACTGCTGCTGGAAGGGAACCTTTGTTCAGCACCGCCCAAAATCGAGAAACTCCCAATGCCTTCATAACACCCTCATCCCCAAAACCAGCCAAAGGCCCGAAACCTGAAAACTAAAACCCCTTCGCCCCCATATAAAAAAAAACAGACACACACGCACAAACACACAGACACAAACCCCTTAACTCCGCAGAAGGTCTGAACATCATTACTAGTATCAACTTGAAGTCCCTGTAATCGTACACTATACCAGACCTCGACACCCTATTCTAATTCTTCGGGCTTATATATGTCTGTCTGTCTATCTAACTATCGATCTATGTCTACATCTGTATCTCTGTCTACACCTATACCTATGTCTACATCTATATCTCCATCTGTATCTATAGTTACATCTGCATATCCATACCTAAATCCATCTCTGGATATATACATATATACAGATGTATATGTATACCTGTTAGAATATGTGTGCGTGTATAAAATATGTTACACACAAAACTCTCAAATAACGAACCGCCCAGGCCGCCCAGCGACTCTTCCGTGCAAGGCGGAGCGATGCGAGGGCATCGCGCCAGCGAGCTGCCTTGGCTGCGCTCGGTTTAGAACCTGAATCCTTGCATGCTCATGGGTACTTACAGCCAGGGTCCTGCGCGCACGATTCTACGGAGAACTAGACATAAGCAGAACGACAACAATTGAAGAGTGCATGTGTATGTTTGTACATAAAACATGATGACACACTTACTTCAAGGGGATACACGAGATATCGTTAAGTAGTCCTATCAGTTAACTTTCAGCCCTACATTAGGGGCTACAGTATTGATTGTAGGCTTCCAAGGTGTCGCTATGCGCCTAACCCTAAACCCTAAACCCTAAACCCCTAAACCCTAAACCCCTGAACCCTGAACCCTAAACCCTGAACCTTTGCAGCTCGTTTCTGCCCTGGGAATGATTTGACAAGCCTTCGACAGAAGGTGCGATGGGCTTCTCTTACCCAGACCCCCTTTGGAGGATCCAAAAAGTCGATCCCTTAATGGGGGCTCCTATAAAGTACCCTTAGTAGTATAGGGGCCCCAAATTAGGGGATCTACTTTCTAGATCCTCCCGGGGGTCTGGGTAGCAGTGCTGCATAGGTTAGCAGCTGCCCCCACCCTGTAATAGTGACTATAAGGATTATGTCAGGGTGGGGGCTCCTTCTAATGCACAAGGTTTACCCTTGATTCTTCGATTTGGGGTTTTAGAGTTGTTTACTTTATTGTTTAGGGCGGGCAGAGGGTTTAGGGCTTTAACGTTTAAGCTCATAGGGCACTCAAGGTCGGGGGCTTCAATTGCAGGGCATTGGAGAGATCCTCGAAAGCACAGTTAGCTCTTGCAAACGTATCTTGGAAATGGCAAGGCCTCAAGCATCAAACCAACCAAGAACACAGGCCCGCCTCTTCGAATGCGGAGATTCCTGCCACGTGCCCCGCTTCATCCACCTGCCATAAGGGTCGTGGAAGGGTCGGGCCCATCCAAAGGGATAGTAATTAGGCTTTAGGTTTCAAGGCGTGACACTTCAAGACAATACTGGATGTCAGCAGCTCTCGATGAGCCTAGACTGTACATTATTACACATGAGTCTCCTAAGTTAAGTTATGCGCTCATATAAGTCTCTTAGACGGAGCTACCGAGCAATCATAAGGTACCTGGCTAAATCCCACCACACCCGTTGAACACTCACTTCCTGGCAAAGAATGCATTGCTCTGAGTCTTCTCGGCCGTGGCACATCCAGACATCCTGACGGCTCTTGTTCGCAAATCCAATCACATCTCCAAGTTCTGTTCCTGTCCAGTGTTACATCATCTGATCTTCGACTAATTGAACCCTAAACTCTAGACCCTCACCCCTAAACCCTAAACCCCCTAAAACCCGAAAGCCCATGAACCCCTAAACCCCCAAACCCTAAATCACTAAACCCTAAACCCCGAACGCCCTCAACTGCTAAACCCATGAACCCCTAAACCCCCAAACCCTAAACCCTAAAGCCCCTAAACCCCTAAAGCCCCAAAGAGCCTCACAGTGGTTCCTTCTTGGGGTTCATAAACCCCTAAACCCGCAAACCGCTAAACCCCTAAACCCCGAAACCCCTAAACCCCTAAACCCTAAACCCCTAAACCCTAAACCCCTAACGCCCTCAACTGCTAAACCCATGAACCCCTAAACCCCCAAACCCTAAACCCTAAAGCCCCTAAACCCCTAAAGCCCCAAAGAGCCTCACAGTGGTTCCTTCTTGGGGTTCATAAACCCCTAAACCCGCAAACCGCTAAACCCCTAAACCCCGAAACCCCTAAACCCCTAAACCCTAAACCCCTAAACCCTAACCCCTAACGCCCTCAACTGCTAACCCATGAACCCCTAAACCCCCAAACCCTAAACCCCTAAACGCCCTCAACTGCTAAACCCATGAACCCCTAAACCCCCAAACCCTAAACCCCTAAACCCTAAACCCCTAACGCCCTCAACTGCTAAACCCATGAACCCCTAAACCCCCAAACCCTAAACCCCTAAACCCTAAAAAACTAACGCCCTCAACTGCTAAACCCATGAACCCCTAAACCCCCAAACCCTAAACCCTAAAGCCCCTAAACCCTAAAGCCCCTAAACCCCTAAAGCCCCAAAGAGCCTCACAGTGGTTCCTTCTTGGGGTTCATAAACCCCTAAACCCGCAAACCGCTAAACCCCTAAACCCCGAAACCCCTAAACCCCTAAACCCTAAACCCCTAAACCCTAAACCCCTAAACCCTAAACCCCTAAACCCTAAAGCCCTCAACTGCTAAACCCTCCTCCATACCGGCCCGGTCCTTCTCCTGGGAGGAGAGAAGCAAACCAGACAGCTGCCTGGCTTTGGGGGTGTTCGGGTTTCGGGTTTAAAGGAGCTTACAGGCTGAAGGATTTAAGGGTTTAAAGGATCGAGTTCAAAAGAGTTTGAAGGTTTGGGGTTTAGGGTTTGAGGGCTTAAGGGCAGAAGGGTTTGAGGGTTTAGGGGTTTAGAGTTACCGGCTTCTCTACTTTGATGTGCAGGGTGGACTTATACAACCACACCTATGATGCACACGTACACACCCCCTAAACTCCAAACCCTAAACACTGATCCCATGATGCATCTAAGCGCAAGGCAAGGCGGTGAATCTCTGAACAATTTTGCTATGATCGCCCCGTCAAGAAACTGCTCCCACAGCTTTACTTCGAACCTTCTTGCCGTGCCATTACTGTCCCTCTCACAAGATATCCTGTCATGACCGGAGTGCCAGAGCGTGGAGCGGCTGCAGGCTGAGATGACGGCATTCCGCAACTGTCACAGAGATTTGAGCGGGTTAGGGGTTTAGAGTTTAGGGTTTAGGTTTGGGGTCTAGGTCTTGGGGGTTTGGGGTTTAGGTTTTTCGGAGTTTCGTTCAGGGTTGTTCTCTTCGGTTTGCCTAAAACCCTTTTCCGTCTCGCCAAGTACACTCCACAGAAGTTTTCGGGTTTAGTGTTGAATGATTTGGTGTGTAGTCTTTATAGATGTCGATAGTTAGTGCAGTCTGGCTTTGAGTTTTAGGCGGAAGGCTTAGCTTATTCGAGTGGCAAGATATCGGGAATGCTGGGCTGATCCTGGAAACCGTCTGAAGAAACTGTGGCTTGTTTCTCAGACCATTTCCATTCGCTGCGGTAGAGCTCGGTTCGAGCGCTCGCCTATGCATATAAATTCTGGTGAAACATCAATCGCACGGGGTGCGAAAGCCGGAGTCTGTTTCCTCAAAGCCCGTCGCACGGAGCCATTCCCGAGCCGGACCGAGGGCCTTACAGACTCCTGGGCAGACAAAAAGACACGGTTTGCTGACAGCAGCGGTGACACATTGTGCAATAACTCCGCAGGTCGCCTCCAACCATGTGCTATAGGCTGCCGCATCCTTCAAGCACAAACTGGTGGGCACATCATGTTGGAGGACATGAGGAGGCGGCGGTTCGACCCGGAAGATGGAAGGCACTCCACTGAGGGCGAATGCCGCACGTCCAGGCCGAGTCCAGGCAGGGACGTCATCCTGGGGGAAGGCACGAGCGGGTTTGCACGTCTGGTACGTGTCAGCAAGGAGATCCACATCAAGCAAAAGCAACACGTTATCAGCCGTGGAAGATTTGGCCGGGCAGCACGGTGCTGCATCTTTCCAAGCCGAAACTGTGGCTCTGAGAGTCTCCAGAGGTTCCACAAAAGAGGTGACGGTTGCCCAAACCGTCTCCTCGTCATCCGGAGGAACAGCATCCAGGGCAGAGAGGAGCCCGGCAGCAACATCCAAACGGATGCTGGGCTCAAACTCGTGATGAAAAGATCCCGATGCCACCTCAGGGTACGCCAAGGGGTGCGGGGGTGGCCCTTTAGAGTTGTTAGGGACAAACCGACCCCAGTTCAGGACGCACTGTGGACTAGAAACTAAGTGCCGACGTAGTCTGCCTAAACTAGAGTAGCAACGTCCGCACGCACAGCAGGTGGTACCAGTAGCGCACAGGTGGGCGTGAGATCGGTACCCATGCTTACGAGCACAATGCCCCGCCCAGGCAAGGCGGCTTGAGAAGGCACGTCTGCACGTGATGCAGACCTCACTGTAGTGAGGGCGGTGTGGGGGAGGGTCAGAGGGCTCGGATCCTGAACCACACATCAGGAGGAGGGCACGGTGAAGCCCTGAGAGCGAGGCAATGACCACATGTCGGTGAATATCGAGGGCCTGAGCTCTTTTGACCGCCCCTTTATACTTACCAGGGGTTTGGGATATGAAACTGCTCCAGCTGTCCCAATCCTGACGAGGGCAGGGTAACCCGGTTGTGCGCCAAGTGTAGGAGTGCAGCCACTGTAGGTCTGCAAGCAACAGCTCCGCATGATCTCGGTCGGCTCGAAGGCAAGCCCACAGTTCAGGTGGTGCTGCAGCAAGGAGCTGCGAGACATACAGGAGGCGTTGAAAGCGAAGGGCCGTACTGGGACTAGGGAGCCGCAGAAGCGCAAAGCACGTATGAGCATCCATATGCTGGTCATCCATCTTGCCAATACCAAGCAAGCTACGGTAGAAACTCCAGAGGGCCCCGGAGATAGACCGACGTTCACCAATGTTGAGCGGTCCCCAGGAGCCTGCACCGAAGTAGAGTTTGGGAAGGACGGCAGAACGCAGAATGAACGCCTTACGGCCTAGACTGATGGCCGGATTCCTGTACACTTTGTGACGGCCTTCGGCGAAAGCAGCACGCGCTTGCGTGATGCGATGTGCAACTTCAGCTCGGAGACCTCCACCGGGGGTCTGCTGGCAGCCAAGGTGTCTGTAAGATGCGACTACCGGCAGGAGAACGCCGGGTCCTGATTCAACCACAACCGGAACATGGCCACGGAGGCCTGAAGGACCAAAAACAGCTTGCTTGGCCCGACGGCTGCCAGGGCCGGAAAGGGTCAGGACCGCTGCAGTCTTGCTAGGTGCAAACGACAGAGTAAAGCCGAACTCATGAAGGGCTTCGGACAAGCAGCTTGCCTCAACTCCCATGGCACAGGCCGCGAGGTGGGGCGTAGTGAGCCTCGGGATGGCTATGTCATCCGCCCACACCACTTCCGAAATTTGGATGTGGTCGGAATCCGTATCACACGGTTGGAAAGAACGACGGCCGTCCCACGGAAAGGATGGGGGCTGGGAGACGTGGTGGCATGCCTCACGAAGCTGATCACGCCTAAGAAGGATGCGCTTGATGAGGGCAGCAAATATAAGGTCGGCCCAGGACGAGCCGGGACGCGAGCCCTTAGCAGTAGCAATCACCGTAGTATCCCCCTTCAGACAGAAGAAGTTGCCTTCCTGCAAACTACATGTGAGAGCTTCCAGCCAGGGTGGGGCGCCACCCCTGGCGAGGGCAGTAGGTTCCGCCAAGTGCTGAGCTACCGCCTCCCTTTCATCGGAAGACAGCTGAAGGCTGTCGAGAAACCCATCGGGGTCAAACCCGGCAGCTGTAGCGGCGGTGTTGGCTACAAGGCGTTGGATAACGCAGTAAAAGGCAGAGGCAATGTCAGCGAACAGGGTGAAGTGGGTCGTCCCGGTGGCTGTAGCCACACGCCCCAAGGCGCGAATAAGCTGGCTACCAAACATAACGGTGCACTTCGATTTGCCTCCTAGCTGTAGGCTAGGGGCATGCTGCTCAAAGAACCTCTTCATCGGTGGTCGCAGCGCCTGGTGTACGATCTTGGACCAGACCGGGAGGAGAAGGATGGAGCGGTATGAAGTGCATTCCTGAAAGCTACCTTTGCCTTTGTAGAGCCAGATGGCTTGACCCGCTTTACATCCGATCGCTTCGGCTCCACGCCAAGAAGTCTTCAAAGCAAGATGGTGCAAGTGCGGGGAGAGAAACTCGGCGAAGACTCGGCCGAATTCGTTAGGTATCCCGTCCATCCCCGGACACTTGGCAGGCTTTGCTTTAACAAGCAAGCGATGGATGTCAGCGCAAGTTGGCAGGAGACGCACATCCGAAGGGGCCGGCCACGACCCTCCTGACATGGTTCGCTGACAAATGCGGCTGTGGGAGTCTGCAATGAATTGGCCCAGCTCTATCTCCTTACCCCCCTCCAGGCCCCCAAAATGCTGGCGCCATCGCCGGAGGCTGGAGTCCGAATCCGGGCAGACATTGCCTGCAGCGTCACGAATGGAGGGGAGGGGGTCGGCCCGATAAGGCTTCTTGCGCTTATGGGAAAGGAGCCTATGAAGGTTACCAAATACCTCAGAAGAGGGACTGGAGGAGATCTGGTCCGCAAGAAGGCTCAAGTGATTGTTGCGGTCACGCTTGCAAGCGGTCCTGAGCTGCTGTCCTTGGTGGCGCAGGACACTGAGATGGGCGGCCAGGGCGAGGTCGGCCCTGCGCCACCAGACTGTGCCGCCGACGAGGGAAGAGAACATGTCAATTCCCCGCCACACACGAAAGCACATTGCAGTGAGCTGCATGTAAACCTGCCGCTGGAGACGGTGAAGGGACCTGCGGGTAGCAGCAACAGCACGCTGGAGCTGCCAAGTGTCCTGTGAAAGATAGGACTGGTGAGGTCCTACAGCTCGTTTGGATTTAATCGATCCCAGGGTTTGCTGCACATAGCCAACTAAGTGTGCGGCATGGGCGTGCACTGAACAATCCCAGGGAAGGGGCTGGAAACGCTTGAGGGCTGCCTCGATTGTAGCCCGGTTGGCTGGATCCGTGAAATGACTAACTGGGAACCGCCGTTGGCGCAAGGCTGGCCCGGCTTGTCCGGCACGACAATGGAACTGGACTTCAACCACGGCTGCAGTGTGGTCGGGGCTACAGTGAGCAGTGTGAAGCTGTGGTGCCAGGTAGGATCGACAGTATTCCTTACACCAAGCTGACGGAATGCAGACCATGTCCGGTCTGCACAACTGGCCATTCCGCTTCTGGACGTAGGTGTGTGATGCGCCGGTATGGAAATCCTCCCAGGTTGCAGGAATTAAGAGATCGAATTCCTGTAACACGGAGTGCAAAGCCTCGCCAGCTGCATCTTCGGACTCTGCCGCGTGTCCCCCAACTTGGTCCGATGGGTGGCTGCCTACCGAGGCATTGAAGTCGCCAGCTAGGACAATGCTGTCCCGCATGGCATGATTTCGAATAAGCGCGTGAGTTTCCGACCACCACTGTTCGAGTACAGAAGCCTCCGTCGCACGGTGGGGGGCATGAAGACCCACAAAAAGGGTCCTGACAGCCTTATCTGCGAAGCGCACCAGAAGGCGGCGGGGATCCGAGGCAACAACGGTAAAAAGGGGCTCGCGGAAAACATGGTTGGCGGGATCCTGAGCCGCCCCAGATGTGCGAAAAGCGAACCCATCCTTAAACCACCATTCTACACCCCATTGGCCGCGAAGGCCACCTGAGCAGAACCTGAGGTAACGACCGCAGTGGTAAGTACCCGAGTCGCAGCGGGTTTCTTGAAGGCATGCTGCATGGATGTGATGATCATCCAGTTGGGCAGCCAGCATCTGGGCCCGGCCGGGTTGCATGGCCAATCCTTCGCCGACAACTTGACCTGAGGCAGGTCCACCAAAACCGTCATTGAGAGAAAGAACGTTGAAGGTGGCCAAGGTGAGCTGAGTGCACGTAACAGGAGCCGCAGCTTGCATGGTGGAAGCTTCTGCGACAGAGGGTGTGGGCCCTCCTTGGAGCCGGACTGAGCATGCTCCGATGGGAAGGAATGGCTCAAAGAGTTGCCTCGTGCTGAGGCCAAAATGGTTAGTGTCCTGCCCCAACCACTCCGAGTTGAGGCGGGGTAGCGCTGGATCGCCTAGATTGCTGCGAATG